GCACGCATGTCAAGCGCTGAGAAACAATCATCACAATAATTAATCGTCAACAGCTATAATCAATCGCAGCCCAATTCAAACAATCGTTAGCAAAATACAACAAAATACCTACATTAACTGCGGAACAATTAATCGTCGATCAAGTCCCGACTTTACATATTGGTTATCGACGTACTGTGAGGACTCAGAGCGCACGGCGTTGCCATCCATGCGACTGGTGAGGGACGACAGTTACGCACGGTCGATTAACACGCATTCGTCATTCAGACATTACTCTAAAGATCCTGAAGAATGTCAACGTGATTGGTTTTAAGATTAAAATGACTGGTTTCAGGGTCGCGCTCACAGTTCCAGACGCAGTGAGCCGATGGAGCTCGTTTACACGATACCAGCCGGTCGGTTCATGGCGTGCCGCTGGGCGTGATCAGGAAATGTTCAAATTAATTTCCGACCGATTTATAAGAGGCCCCATCGATTTATTTGTTAAGTCCGAACGAGAACACACTGGCCTGCAACCACATACTGGTTTAAGTAATATCGAGGGAATCTACAAAAAAATGTCAAATGTCAAACTGAGTCATTATACGCACCAAGCTGATCTTGAATGTTATATTGTGAAATGTTTTAGAAGAAAATAGGCATTTAGCTTTCCGATGCACTTTTTCCAAAAAATTACATTCCGCAAACTGTTTCCGCTCAAGCAAGTTGAAGGGCGGGATTCGTGCCGTCATCGCGTACTTTCATCTGCTCCTAGTTCTTTAGCGGTACTCTGCACAGCTCATACGACTTGCAGAATCGTCTTTTGGCCGTATAATTACCTCAAAGACGCGTCTCAGTCAACCTTGAAAGGCCGGTGCCGTGTTATCCTATCGATTTGTCATGGAATGGCCCAAATTCAAGCACTAATGAACGAGCGTTTTGCTCATATTCACAGCATGAGATACGCCTCAGCCCTGTCATGCTATCAAAAAAATGAAACAAGCTCGAGTGTCTCCTTACGTCGTATCTCCTCAGAGACGGTGTTCAGGATCTCAACGAAAGGACAGCTTCAAAGGCAGATTTCTGAAAGCAAACACCATGAAATTCTGACGACAGGAACGTTATCACGAGCCCAGGTTGGAAAAATTCAGAATAAGTGACTGACAAAAACGTTTTTCAGATGTCCATTGGCAAAATTGAAGCTACTACATAATTTTCTGATCGTAACACCTCGTAAGACCTCAGGGTGCTGAATGAACCGTCAACAGACAAAAGCGGTCTATGTCTTCAAAGATACCCACGGAGGCCGAGAACGACACCCAGTACTTGGAAAGTAGCTGGAAGAACACCAAACCCATTGCCACCTCTTCATGGGATCTCCAGAAACGTGTGGTTTGAAGAAGCCACCCAATCATTTGTTGGGTTATGGTACCCCCAGCTATGGATAACATCTTGCATCGGCAAGAGCGGTTCATCGCTTTCAAGATAACGAGGGAGGCAAAAGGTGCCCCTCACCCCAGAGCCTGAGAGGCAACTGAATACATCAGCCAATACCGGGATCTTCATGGAGATCTCAAGCAGACCTACTTTCGAAAAGCGCGAGTATTATTGGCCCATGACCACGCTGATCTGTATCTTTACAGCATTTAACCAAATGACCCGATCCAAGTCACTCACCCCGCCCGGAATAGAAAGCAAAGCTGGCATATAAGGACGCGTGAAATCCAGCACAGCCAGTAAAACTTCTCAAACTCCATTTAATACTCCGACGGCCTAAACTAAAAAGATCTGCCACCAGCTGGCCATTTTAGTGAAGAGAGAAGAGAGAACTGTAGCGTCCAGGACGTGGCCAAGTAGATTTGCGAGCGATACTAGCTATCGCGTTGCCAAAGAATGCGAGAAAATATCGATAAAAATAAATATTTTGTATAAAGCTTTTGGCTCATCCCGCAGGCGTCAAGCTCAGAATATTCCCCTATTCAAGTTGATGCATATTCAGTATGTGAACTGAATCAGTCCATATAATTCAGGCGGTGCCGCGAAGGGGGGGGGGGGGGTAGAATAATACTGAGTTTGAGGACTTGCCCATGGAATGTAACAGTGCCAGAGGGGCTCATAGCATTTTGCTGGTTCGTGCGCTTTATGTCTCAAGACTGGCATCAAGGGTATCAAGCTTTAATCACGAACATTTTAATTCTCTTTCGATCTGTGTTACTGTAGCATCTCTGAGATTCCAACTCGAACGGTACTGGGGGGGGGGGGGGGGGGGGTTGCAATTAAGCACCCCAGGAAACGTCGACGAAGTGATCGGGAATCTACGGGTCCTAGGCTCTAATCCCAGCTGAATCAAAACTTTTCTACTTGCATGTGTAGCGCAAAAAGAGCTCGTTCAGTCGTAGGAATTTCAACCATCACATATCAGCATATAATCGTATGGCATTTCATCTAAAATATACAAATCGATAATTGATAGATCACGCGCGTTATCGACAAAGCCAACCCATGTTCGCCTGACCCATGCGTTCCTTTTCAGAATGGAACGGTAAAAGTGATACAAATGGGATGGAGTATGCGCGCTCGCGATCTTTAGTCGCAATACACACTTCAGGCAACTGCAATCTCCGTATGTCGGGCGGCGTCAGCTGCTGCTGCAACACCAGGTAGCGGCTGGAGGCGGGCGAAAACCCCACGTGCCGGTAATACCTTCGGACGCTTTGAAGATACATACGAACGACCAGCAGGTGCTCCAACATTGCGTGAAACGTGTGCGTCGTAACTCCTAATCTGTTCAGACTATCGCCCTCGAAATGGCACAGGTGGAGCTTGCGTCACAGTCCGCCTGCAAAACGTACCAGCTAACTCCTAGAAGCGTTCGAAAGTGTCACATTCCATTACGTGGTCGTTTCGCCCGCGTTCCTACGGCCATCAGCTGCTGACTGCGGCAGTTGACGCTGCGCGGCCCATAGAGACTGCAACGTTGGTCTTCGGTGTTATCGCAACCTCAGATTGCGCATAAGCATGCTCAAAACTCAATGTTCAAAATGCTCACATAATTTCATCGATGCCTGGCTATGGGAAATGGCGAACATACCTGGCCAAGATCGGTTGGCTTTCCCGATGAATTACTTCAACCCTGTTTCGATCTATCTCAGTGTGCAAACGCCACACAAGAGTGAAAGGCCGCAAGCCATTGGCTTCCACACGCCGTGCCTCGTAAACACAAGAACGTTGATTTTACAGCTATCTATGGCATGGTCAATTTGAATGGTATAGGAGTGACGCAAATTCAACTCATACTAAAACAAACACAAAGGAAATGTTGATTGTCTCAGTGAACTTCACGGCCTGTGATGCAATCATGTTATATTTCATGGCTAATGTAGTTGGTCCCCTCATATACTGCAGAAGTGGTGAATACACGGGACAAAGAAAAGTTCCTTGCCCTTATAAGATGCCCTATACCTCAGGGAATTCGGAGCGCATTGTATTAATGTCAATCGTCGCACAATCGTGGCATGAACAAAACGGTTCCGTGACTAACGACGGCCCGTTTTAAGCGCAACGCCGCTCACATTCCAACTTTGCTGTGAGTCCTCGGACTAGACCAGCCGCGCATGCGCATCGTAAACAGCTGCTATCAGCATAACCGGCATGGAGTTTATGGAGCGCCATGCGAGTAATATTGAATTTGAACAGGGGTTTGAATTGAATAGCCATTTTGAAGACCTTTCGGTATTTTTCATAATCCTGCCTTCTAAAGGCCTACGCCTGTCCAATTTCTGAGCTATAAGCCCACGAAAATGGGGAAAGGTATATCGGAGAGAGGATTTCAAAGTCACATTGGCATTCATGACATCATAAAAACGTCATTCTAATCCTGCCATTTCATAAGCCATAAGGCAATCAGGGTCAATACAAATATAATTGTCGACGCGTCCACATATGGCGTTCGTGAGCGTTCATATCTGGCACCTGCTTCAATGCATTCAAATGTAACACATTCCCTTTAATGAAGGGGACGCATTCTAGCCCCGTTCCCACCCGACGCGCAGCTCGTGGTTAAACTTCACCAGCATATGGTCATAATAATGCTGTGATAAAATCACATGAGGATAGGATTTGGCGCAACACTGACGCGCCGGCTGGCAACAAGCACCGTGACACTGCGCCTGGGTGTGCTGTCACACCCAGGCAGCAGTCACGGGGAACCTTCCAACCCGATCCCATCTGACCACGTGCCATCCCATCGCGCCGGCGCCTCTCAGCCCACACCCGCCGCATGCTCATTCACCCAAACAGATGCGCCACACTCCACTTCCCGATCCAACGCATGGGACAGGACAGCAGTTATCTCTCTTGATGGTGACCGCTGGTAACACGTACACACAAGTGGGGCGCGCTCGCTGACCACCTGGCCGCCGCAGGGCCGACGGCGACACGCGGCGCGCACCGGCCGCCCCCTATCTGCCGTGTCATCAAGCGCCGGCGCCAGCCCGGCCACAAGATGTCACGAGGGCGCGCCTAACGGTCGACGCCAACCCGAACTGGACCGGCCCGCGCACCGGGGACACGGCCGGCTGCCCAGTCCAGCGGCGATCCGCTCCCGTCCCGGGAGGCCGAGTCGGTCCCGCCACCGCCCGGTGCGGTCCCGGCGGCACCAAGCTGGTCCGGGTCGGTCCACCTCGGCCGGGACGCCTTTTGCGGTCCTAGGACAACCAGGAGACGGTTCGGAAGAGCCAGGAACACCAGCGGTCCTTCACCGGACCAGGCAAGTGGGCAAACACCCGCCTGCACTGGCCGTCTGACCCCGCTGATGATGACGATTTGGGCTTTGGAGCGCACCGCTGATGATCCGGTCCCACACATAAGATGTGACGCCCCGGCGCACCCTCTACACTACACCGGGCGGGTCTGAGAACGGCCGCTATCGGGCCAACCATGGCCGAGGACGGCCTCTGGTTCGGTGGCGGCGCGCTCCGCCTGTCACCGGGCCGATCCCAGCCGGCCGCAGCGCCGCTCACCGACGAAGTACTGCTCGTCACGCAGCAGCTGCTGCAGCAGGTCGGCGCTGCAGTAGCTGGGAGCCGAGCCGCCCAGTTCGCGCGGCAGGATGGCGCGTGAGAAGTGTGCGTGCAGAGACTTGAGGTTGCTGCCGTGGAAGAACAGCTGCGGCGGCGGAGAGAACACACAACAGTCACACACAGCGATCAGGCACAGCCACGCTTGACTGTCGATCGGGGCCGGAGCTGGACGGGCGGGGTGACTGGGACCTGAGCTGGACAGGCGGGGTGACTGGGACCGGAGCTGGACAGACGGGGTGATCGGGGCCGGGGCTGAACAGGCGGGGTGACTGGGACCGAGGCTGAACAAGCGGGGTGACTGGGACCGGAGCTGGACAGACGGGGTGACTGGGACCGGAGCTGGACAGGCGGGGTGATCGGGGCCGGGGCTGGACAGGCGGGGTGATCGGGGCCGGGGCTGAACAGGCGGGGTGACTGGGACCGGAGCTGGAAAGGCAGGGTGACTGGGACCGGAGCTGGACAGGTGGGGTGACTGGGACCGGAGCTGGACAGGCGGGTGACTGGGACCTAGCTGGACAGGCGGGATGACGGACCGGAGCTGGAAAGGCAGGGTGACTGGGACCGGAGCTGGACAGGCGGGGTGACTGGGATCAGAGCTGGACAAGCGGGGTGATCGGGACCGGAGCTGAACAAGCGGGGTAACTGAGACCACGCAACCCGGCTGATATCAGCTGTTTGAGAGTTTGACATTTGTGACAAAGAACGGTCCACCGGAACTGACTACCCCTGCTGATGATCATGCAGTAGGTGAAACACCGCCACTGAGTGGTTCCACGCCGGGAGGGGACACATGCTTACCCGGTCAGCCAGCTTCTTGCTGAGGAAAGGCTTCACAGCCGCAAAAGCCCAGTAGAAAATCTTGGGCTCGAATACAAAATGGAAGCCTTTAAAACGGAGGGGAAAGCTGCC